GGTTAAGAATTTTTTGTAAGCAGGATGCTTTCAGATGGAATCGTATGCCTACATTTACATGCATTTTGATGTTTTTGTACCCGCTATTTCATCTCCTCTTGATATTGTATCTATCTGTTTGCTGTGGTTCAAAGTCAGATGGATATCATGGAATATAAGGGAGAACTTGAAACTGATTTAAAGTTACCAAAATTTTCATACCATTATGAAATCAAACAGAGACAAGGGTACTCTAAGATGTCGAGAAAAAGAAAATAACAATGCTGATAGTATTTTATGATACTCAAACTTACACCTTTAGCCAATTATTTTTTATAAACGAGATTGCAATTTGGAATAGGAAAATGGGTTGCAAGTATTGAAATTTGAATCTTAACACTTGGTAAATGTCATTTTTTAAAAGTAATTGCATCAATCAACTGAAACAAGTTTTTATTTCTAAGCCAGTTATTCCTTGTACCTACATAATATCACCTTTTCCTCGCAATCTGCTCATTTAGGATTATACTAGTCAAAATTGCAGAACACCAGACCCAAAAAGTTTTTTCCCCACTAGATATTAACTTTTGGGACAAAAATTAGTGGCGCTTCCAACTTGGCCACAACTTTACAGTGCTTTGCCTCAAAAAGTAACGAGTCTGAAGTACAACTTGGTAGCAGAATATAAGCATTTCCAAGCAGATAAATTTCCAAGAAATGTCATAAAGCTTACTGGTGCATCCATGAACTGTGTTTTCTTTGGCACCTGGATAGCGGATACTTGAATATTTGGTATCATGTTATACATTCCTGAATTGTTTTCATTCTGATTTATAAGACCAAAAAAATGTGAAGGATGTACTAGATTCTCACAGGCAGGAAAAATGCTGATGGAGCAGTTGACAATGTCCAATAATAACCAAAAAGGGTGATCTATTGCCAAAAGACTAAGAAATCTTTTTTCTTACAAATTTCTTTTGATCAGCCATTTCCCAAAATGTTAAATGAGCACACATCAGAAAACCAGAAAAGCATGGTACGGCAATACTTCCTTTTTTTAGTCTCTTAAAAATCCCAAAACTTTCATTTTTTCACTGATCAAATTTAAGGTAAAGTATATTCTTTCGGACTCAAAATGCAAAGGATCTCCTGTGACAAATTCATGATAACACACCCCAAAACTCAATCCAGCTGGAAGTTCTATTCTTCCTAATCATTGCTCTCATTCTAGAAACACCATCTCCAGCAATTTCAGCTAATTGTACATTGCAATGGACCCTACAAGCAGCAAGGAAAGCTCCCAAACAACTGCACTAGGTATAATTGGCATGTTTCTTACAAGGTTATATGCCTCTTCAAGGCTCGCAGCTCGACCGTGAAGGTCACAACACATGCATAGTGTTTTTCTGAGGGTTGAATTCTATATTCTTCCAGCATATGCTTAAAGTACCTCCTGCCCTCACTAACAAGTCCCTCAGGCATTGTTACAACTGTCAAAACCCCGAAGAATTTTCAACTAATAAAATCATGCAAGGCTGTTGTTTAATGAGAAAGGAAAGATGGATATCAAGAGAGAATCATCAGCATGTTCTTTCATTGATTTCTTGAACACGAAGAATTTTAGTCCTCGTTCAACCAATCCTAATATTGAATCTAAAATAATTCAAATATGTATTGTAATTGAACATGAGAATCCATCAATCAAGATTTTCCTTATAGTTTTGAGTTAATTTGTTCTAAATCAAAGTGTCTGAATGTGATGGTTTCCAAGATTAAAGTCTCAAGTGAATGAGAACCTTCTGACAGCCCCAAATCAATGGCATCCCAACTAAACTGGTTGTCCCTCTCGAGCAACTTTGGGACTATGGTCTTCCAGCAATCCACTCACCACCGCAATTAACCTTTCGAGTAACTATATAAAATGCACAGAAGTTCTGTCAAATTTTGGTAAGTTACAACGGCCCTGTAAGTAAACAAGTGCCTATTTTCAGTTCTCCACATTACAGCCAGCATAACAAACAGCACAGTCATCGTGCAGACCTTCTTCATCTTGCAGTTTATAACTCTAACCTCAAATATATTCTCATTCTATTGACAGTTGTTGCCGAATTGCTTGAAACTATTCACTTTAATAGTATACATGCTGTGAAAGTGGAGAAGATCAATCAATCATAAGCATCAGATTAGGAGCTTAAATCAGATAAAATAACAGACCAGCCAATATTCATCAGTCACGTCACTATCACCAATCAGGGAAAATAGCACAAAGGAAAGAGCTGAGACCTGGTTCCATTATGTGGTTCAGGGCACCCAGTTTGTTACACACGGCCAAGAAGCCTTTTCATGATTGAGATGGATCACTCTCTGATTCCCTATCAGTTGATGTCTTCACATTGTCATTGTTGCTGTCACCAGATAGTGATTGATTAGTACTTTGGCCAGAAACAACAACTAAAGCATGGCTCTGAACGGGAGTATCTGTTTGTTTTGCTGAATTATCTTCATGAGGTGGTATCAACTGAAGCCAGATATGAAATGCCATACTTCTGCCCATGAGTTAGTCCTGGACAAAGGCCCTGTGAAATAAAGAACAAATTTTCTAAGAGAATGAAAAGACATCAATGTGCCTCCTCATGAAAATGGAGGAGTTAATTGCCAAAAACAGCCTCAAACAGCTGTTCCTTGTTTATTCTGCTATTTCACCATAAGAAAGAGTACATTAAAGTGATGATGCTATAACTAGAAATAACTAAATTCCTACCAGGGAGATCTGAAATAGCCTTTCTATTTAGTGATAACCTGTAAATGAAAATCATTACGTAGACACCCGAGTACAGGCATTTATCAATCTTTTAGTAATATTTCATCACATAAGATTACCATCAACACAGTGGAAAACAAACAAAATACAAAGTAGAGGAATAAAAGTCATTAAGGTTTACCTAAATATGATTCAGAAAATATTTCAAAACTAACCTTAATCAGCCCTGATACAGGAGATGCCTCAAGATAAGAAGAATCCAATGGAAATCCAGTCCGATTCCAAACTTCAGAAACTCTACTACCATTAGTTTCATGAGAATCAGCAGACTTGTCTGATGCATGAGGCTCTTCTTTAAAGTCACCCCGGTTACAATAAGCCCCGAAATATGAACAATGCTCTCGCAATAGAGATATTTGAGGAGTTGCAGGCAATAAATGGCCCTCAGTGTTAAATATGTACCTATAAATGGAAATTTTCCACAAAAATGAAAAATAAGAAACTATTGCTTATTTCATATTATAAAATTTTTTTAAGAAAAAACCTAGGAAACAGAAATCTTACTTGTATGGTCCATTTTCAACAAGGTTGTCGGGACCCACAGCCAAATCGAAAAGGAGCCACAAATATTCACCTAATCATGTTGAGAGGTTATAGACAAGATTATACTGTAAATGACGAGGTTATAAACAAGATTATACTGTAAATGACAAGACAACAAGATGAGAACACCAAAAAAATATCCAGGGAGGGAGAAGCTGGCAGACAGGTCAAATTGGACTTAAGCTCAAACTAAACGAAATCTTAAAATCTAGTGTTGTCGTCCATATATATAAAGGTGGCATTTAGGGAAACATGGAATAGCTAAAATACACAAATTATTACTTACTGTTTCTGCCAGGAAAAAGCTCTCCATGTGATCCTCCCTCTTGTGAAACTCGACATCTGATATATGACAATAACCACAAGGGCATCTTGCCCCGTATTGCAAGCTAGCAACCATGTCTCGTCCAGCATCCAGATATCTACAGTGGAAAATATTTGTGAACATTTAATTAGCAAGAGTGGAGAAATAGAACAGAAGTTGTTCATGTTAACAATAACAGAACAGATAACTGGAAAACATCTAATAGGAGCAGGAAGAGCTTTGCACTCTCATCAACAACAATTCTTTGTCTAACAAAATAGCTTACATAGCAAGTCTGTTTTATTTTCTCACATTCATTTAATGCAATATCTTAAATCACAGCTGTTAAATGTCATAATAGGCATCAGCTTTTATTCCTCTCACTTTTTCTCTTTTTCTATGTATTAAGTTTCAGCAAGTTTGTCTTCTAATAAAATTTATCTTCAGATAAGGGTATTTCTTCGCTATTTAATGCTCAAATGAATTGCTTCTACAAATCGGAGAGAAGCAAGCTATGCCAGCATTTTTGTAATCCTGAACAATAAAGCCTTTCAGAAACAATATCAACTGGTTGGATAAATGAGAGTTTTTTTATAAATGAATATATTTAATTTAATGTGTAAACAGAGTGACACCTTTTCATCCTTTAGAATTACTCCAGTTATAGAAAGAAACTGATAAAGTTTAGATGTTGCAATATTACCATCTCCAAATAACTATATGTTAAAAGATGTAGCAAACTTGAGTTAAAAAAAAAAAGTAGAAAAGAAACTTAAATAAAAGTCAATTGATTGACCTGGGATCTCTGGTAGCTTTGTAGAGCCAATATGTGCTTTCTATTAACTCTGGACGCAAAGGGTAACTCTTTTGCCCATGCTGCCAAAGAAACATGATATAAGTGTGACAAATGTTTAAATGAGAAAAAAAAAAAGAAGAGAAAAGTTATCAGGTAGATCTTAATTGTGAACCATCATAGAGCAAATGTGCAAATTTTGTTAAAAAAAAAAAGTGTACTTCGGTATCAGGGCGTATTTGGTGTTATTAAGGTACACATAGGAAATAAGTAAACTTCTAATTTGAAATGCTGAGTGAAAATGGTAAGAGTAGTTCAATATTATGATTCAGATACCTGAACACTAAGTGTAGCAAGATTAAAACCCTCAGGAGTGAAACCATATCTTTTCCAGACACTGAAGAAAGCAGTATGCGTTTGAATAGCAGGGATCAATATCCCCCGCTAAAACCTTCCAAAAAAGGTAAACCTCTGATTACCAAATATTGAATTATATATCTTATGGTTCTATCAAAAAAAAATTATATCTAATAACCTGAAGCCCCGGGCCAAAATGCCTGTAACTGTTAAATAACGGCCAGACAATAGCAGCAGAATCCATATTGACCTCTACATACCTAAGGAAATAAATAAAATTAAACAAAGAGAGAGAGATGATAAAGTAAAACATAATGCAGGGAAATTGTGAAATGACAAAGGTATAATAAAATAAGGAAAAGAACATATATTAAGGTGGTGCTCAACAGCAGAAGTTTTTACCAAGGGTCATTGTAAAGATAGTGCATAGCAGCACTATATGCTTCTTGGAAAATGAACAAATACTCTTCATCTCCAAACAACAAATATGCCTGAAAAGATATCAAGAAAGGAAAAAACAATATCCTCTCTATTACTAAATTGTGATCACAAAATTACGAGGTACAAGAATTTCAAGTCATGTGACAGACCTTCAGAAGATACTCATAGAAGGAGTCAATGCTTG